AAAAATTACTATTTTTTTTTATTCCTGTGAGTTTGATAATTTTTTACATATAGAAAACTATAAACTAAACAAAATAGGAAAATTTTTTTCTTACTTTGTGGGCCTGTCAAGTGTCCAAAAAATGTCTGCGTAAATTTTCGACTTTCTAATTTGAAAGCTTGAAGATTCCTATTTTGCCCAGCTCGCAGTTTTTTATATATAAATATTACTAAATTCACAGAAACTAAAAAAAAGTGACTTTTTGAAAGTAGAGATTTTAAACTTTAAAACCCTTTTTTAAACTTAAATTTCGTTAATTTTTTACGAAGTTACAACTGCCTAAATTTTACCTATTTTTTAAGAAAAATTAAGTGTTTCTCTAATTTTTGAGGAGTTTATTATAACAAAATATAATAACAGATTGACTATAAAAACTATATGCAGAATTTGCTGTTTCTTAACCATTTCAGTGATGTATTTCATTTAAATGTTTAATGAAATAACAAATTTTGTTCGGTTTCTGCCGACAATCTGCTATTAAATTAATTTATATAAACTTTGCCGGTAAAACGCGAGTTTAACGTGAACACAGATGATAGTTGCTCTGTTGTGATATTATACTGAAGAACAAATTGTGTCAGGTACTTTAGTTCAGTCATCGGCCACTTGGTGCCTATCACCTTGTATCTTTACGATTATTTAAGTTAGTTGCAAGAGTTACAAATTACACTTATATATTAGAATTTATAATATTTTCATAAAAAATCTTGCAAATAACTTTAATTCTTCAATGTTAAATAGGATTTATTATTAAGTTTACTCTCACTTATTGTTAGCCCCATTTCGGAAAAATAAAATTAATAATGCAAAAACCTCTCCAGTTCTCGATAGTGATTGTTTTTGGTATGATTCTAATATAAAGATAAAGCATAGATGGATACTTTGGATCCTAAGACAGTGTTCATAGTTCGATCTGGTGTATGCATTTATCAAGATCGTTTTCGTCTAAGTCAGAAATGCTCCGACAATAAGAGCATTATTTCATTGAGAGAGGGGATGGCACTTTAAGACTGCCACACAATTTTTACGGTCTTGAGAATATAAGATCAAACCTGTGAATATTGACTCTAAGGATAGTCTCTCTGATACTGGTCTGGAAAGCGTATTTAATACCTTTACATCAAGCCCCTGCCACTAGTGCCACTCTAGCACGAAGTATGCAATGGTATGTGCTCACCACGTGTTCCAACATTTTTTCTCTTTCATGATTTCTTTATTTTATACGGAAAAAATCAAAACTGCCTTGCTGATAAACAGTAAGTATATGAAAATCGATAGAAATTAGTTTCTCTGATTAATTTTTTGATTCAGTTTCGAGTTAAATTTCCGGTAGATAATTCTTTTTATTCACTGTGTGATCTTTTGTGCAACTTATTGTTTTAGATCGCTATAACCAATATCACACAATGAGATAAGATACATTAAATAAATAAAAACATACATTTTGAAAAATTTTAGTTAATCACAAGTGTAAGCGTAAGTATAGCGAACGTAAGCAATTTAAATTTTGCAATTTTTTTTCTTTGGTTGGTGTACGTGAACGTGTGTATGCCGTATGTTCTTCTACCGTGTGAGATACACTATCACGTGGTGGAACATGCTATAACGTGTATCGGAAAATGAGATAAAAGATACATTGAGTAAGTTAAAATTAAATACATTTCGGAAAATCTTAAACCCATTCTACAATAACTGTAAGAGTATGTGGTAAGACGTAAGCAGTAAAAATTGACCAACTATACAATCGATTATTCTTGGATTGTAAAAATCTTATTATAGTCAATAGCTTACAGCTTACACGTCTTACATCTACTCTTACGACTATTGTAGAATGGAACTTTATAGTCATTTAGAAATTAAGCGTAAGTCTGGCGAATGTGAGCAACCTAAATTGTGTAATTTTTTTGTTCTTTCTTTTGTGCTTGTGCACGTGTGTGCCACGTGGTAATATAAGAACGCAGAGCTCCCGATATTTCAGATTTATAAAAGAACATTTTTCTACATTAACAAAATTAAAAAATAACTGCGTTATATTTTCTTTAAAATAATTAATTATTTAATAATGGTATTCAACACACACATGCAGACTATGTAATAATGTCAGTACTAGCAATTAATGCGAATGAAAGCAAGATAAACTTATTGTTAGATTATACACATATAATTTTAACGCTATAATTATAAATATATATAATATTATAGTCCATTTTAGCATATGCTAAAAAAGAAAGGATTATTATTCTCCATATTTTTTGTCTTCTTTTAGAGAGACAATATGACAAACTACAACAAATTTTTATATTGCAAGAGTTGTAGTCGATATCCCTACATCGGCAGAGTATCCGTGGGAGAAGAGGGTTTTGACTTTGTCTATCAATTTGTGAAGAAAAGATTTGTTATCGCGAAAAGAAACCAGAATCTTAGAATATTCCATACTGCTAGTTTTGACATAATTGGACCACCAAAAAATTTAAAATATGTGGATTTCCCGGTATTATTTGTTATTTTCCTGTACAAAGTAATCGCTATCTATAAATTTATGTTACAAGATTTTCTATTTGACACATTTCGATTTTCTATTATAGTCGAGAAAGAGTGTTTTCGATATTTCAATATTTCCATGGCAAAACAAAGATTTCATGAGATATCAGTTTATTGATAGTATTCCATGGTATACACGGGACCATATGACGAGCGAAAATAATTATATCGGTATGTAATATTCGAATCGATAAGTAAAATATTGTTAAAGAAGATATACGCTTTTGTTGAGAAGAGAGTATATTTTCTATTTTTAAGATATCGAGTTTCATGAAGCTGTATATCCAGTCAGAGTTTCCATTTACGAAATATATAATCCTGGAAGCGTAATTCAAATTTCGGCTGAAGATTCCAATAATCACTGGATTCAGTTGTGGGATGAATCGTCTCAGATTGTACCCCCGGAATCAAGATTATTTTCTCCACCGTTATCGCATCCGTGCAACTTCAAAACCAAAATGCTCAGACTAATGCTTAAGAACAGTAAATATTATACAAAAACAAAACTGGATCTGGATGCTGTGATGCTTATCGGTACATCAGATTTGATCCTTCCTAGAAATCCTAACGAGAGTTTAAGTAATCTGTTAAAAAGAATTAACAGCATGTGTTCTCCACATTACGACGATGTTCATAATTTAACACCAGATTTAAAAAGTGCACACTTGGATATAGTTCATCTGCAACAAAATTTTCCTGAATATTGTGCCAAGCGTATGAAACTCTCATTGGATGAATCCAAGGAGCTATCACGTTGCAGTTTATCTGCGCTTCCTGTAAAGTATTCTCTCTAAGAAGTCTATTTCTTATATCACAATATATTTATTGCAATGACATTCGTACTTTGAGTATTAAAGTATTTATTTTGTATTATATTAATTATATTTTATCTTTACAGGATGAAATGCTACTAAAAATATTTAAATACTTAGATTTGATAACATTATGCCGTATGAATGAAGTAAATAATAAACGCTTTGATATTTCAACACGGGATCCTCTACTCTATACACGTTTGAACATGCGATATGTTAAATCTCAGACATATATGTGCGATATATTTTGTTATTTTACATCTAGATGTAAATATTTGCAACAGTTAGATCTTACATCAAGCGACTTTGATGTTATGAATTTTATAATTTTTCTTGATAATTGTGGTCGGCGTTTAACGCACTTAAAATTAAGTTGCTGCCGATCTATCAACAATCTTGCCCTACTTAAAATTTCAAAGATATGCAAAAATTTGAAAGGTATGTATATAGAATACGTATAGTGTACATATGATTGTCAAGATTATGGGTAAATTGCATATATCTAACACAAATTTTTCTTAGAATTGGATCTATATAATTGTCTTAACATAGACAACGAAGCATTTTCGTATCTCGAGAAGCTAAATAATTTGGAACATTTAAACCTTATTTATACAGTTATAAGAACTGAACCTCTTTGCAAAATACTGCAAAATAATCGATGGATGCGTGAGTTACATTCGTGGTACATAGAAGACGCAGTTCTAACGGAATTGAGAAATTCGTGTCGTGATTTGGAAGTAATATCTTTACTAAACGCAGATACTTTTACATCTCAGGGTATTAATGCTCTCGCTAACTGCAAGAATTTACGCAAAGTGAACCTTGATCGGTAAGTGTGTGTGCTACATTTTCTTTTAAAATACATATTACTGTAGTCTTTATTGAAATTTGTTTGCTTCTCTTGCGAGCATCTTGAAAAAGTTACATGAATTTTCTCTTTGCAATTAAAATACTGTAATAATTATATGATTTTTGTTACAGATTCAAATATTCAGATAGTGACGATAATATTGACAGCATATTTAGATTACTTTCCTCTTATCAAAACTTGCAAGAAGTTTATTTGTTCGATGCTGTCCTCACTGATCACCGGTTGGAATTATTAGCGCAGTGCAAAAACTTGAAAACGTTATATCTTTGCAAAACGAAATTTGATATATCTGATAATTATTCAGTTATTTTGAAACAATGTCCTAAACTGCAGGAGTTTTATCTCAGGTGCTGTAATATAAGTGATCAATTGGTTAATCATTGGAAGGAAAAATATCCGCATGTGTCCGTCTACATAAGCGACGTGCATTGATCTCCGTCGTGTTTGATCTCGAGTGTTCTCAATCGCAATGCTGCTTGATCCCGTCCGAACTTTACCACCACAGTTCAATATATATATTGATTGCGCCTTATATATACACTGTTGAAAACAGAGGTCCTGTGTGTTAAAAAAAGACTTTGTTCAAATTTTTGTGTAAAATAATCAACACATACGTGTGTAGATTTAACATATGCTTGCTATGTTAATTGAATTTTACAAATTCAAAATGTAAAATAATTAAAATAACTTGAAAAATATGTTAAAGTAACACAATTTGAACGTATTTATTAAATGTGTTAAAATTTACAGAAAAAGAAGGTTGATTTTACTCTATAAAAGAAGTAGGAATAAAAATTTACAGAAATAGAGAGTTGATTATATCTTACAATCACAACTTTAACATAAAAGTTATGTTAATTGTACACATAATTAACTTCAAATTACGATTAGAATTACATTTTCTTTCTGTTGAAATATTTTAACATAATATCAGTGTTACCACTTAACACATCCATATTATGTTAAATTAACACAAAAATTTGATTTTAACATGTGATTTATGTTATATTTAACACAAATTTTCCAACAGTGTAGATATATTCTATAAATGAGAACGCAACAATTACAGCTACACTTTACTCCTGCACATTAGGCTAAATAAATTTGAGTTTATTTTATTACAAAGACTGCGCATAGTCCATTAAGGAATCGAATAAGCAAATAGATTGCTTGCAATGTTTTAATTAAATGTAGTCTATAGTCTAGTCGCATGCATTCTAATTAGTTTAGTACTAATAAAACCTAGGGATGGTTTAGGTTTATTGTGTGTTTTAAGTAATCACTGAATCAGTAACGTTGACTATTTTTTTACGAACGCTGTCTTTATTTTTTAAACATTAGTTACAGTAAATGAGGAACAGTGTAATAAATTTAAAAAATTCGGAAAATTTCTGGATAAGTTGAATAGTCGAATCTGTCGAGAGCAGATTTTGAAAGTATTTCTTACAAATTTTGTCGATTAGATGCCAGCTAAAATATATCACAATCTGCTGACAATGGCAAATGGACTACAGAAATTGAGCCAAATCCGCTGTTTCGTAACCATTTAAATGATTTATTTTTCATTTAAATGTTTGTAAAATGACAAATTCTGTTCAAATCTGTTATGATTATACTGGCAAATTGCCAGCACAAGGCACAAGGTTTAATGCGGACAAAGATGATATCAGATCTTTTGCAATATCTGAGAAAATCTGCTGCCAATCTATTGTATTGCGAGTGTTTTACTTACTGGGCAATTATTGCTATTAAATATTTCTCCATTATAACTCGTATCTGGTTTTTAATTAACCCTGATACATATGCTAAATGTACAGGGTAAGGTGCAATAATTCGATGGGTCATAGTATACCTGACTATCAGCGTGAAAAAATGCAAAATGAAATGAAAAGAGAAAACTAGTTACTTCTTATTCTTCTCGTTACAGTTTAATATTTCGATGAACTGCATACGTGTTGATTATGAAAGACCAGAGCTGATAATTGCTACTGCGACTCAGCGAATTAATGAACCTTACTGTACAACTCGTTCAAATATGCAAGTTTTAAATATATAAATATTATATCATATATATAAATCAAATTTAATACATATTTATAAATCATAGTTTACAAAGTATATCCGTATGTATATATCTATACCTCTTCGTGTGGGTGACAATTTACATCAGAATTTAAAAAAATCATACAACTTGAGTGACAGAATGATAATAAATTGGTTGATTATACGAACTTTTCAATATTACATAAGTTCTTCAAGATTTGAGATCTTGTTTCAACTTTCTGCATTTGTTTTCTGCATCTGTTTATAAACAATTTATAAACAAAACTTCTTATGATTCACAAAAGTTTTTAAGAATTTTAATTAACCTTTTCTTTGAAATTATAGTAGATATTTTATTTTTTTTTTTTTTTTCAATTTGGTCGTGCTATTAAAGTTCGAAGTGAATTAAAGTATTTAATATTTCTGTCATCTTTTGTTACGTTATCTCAACAGATCGTCGATCAAATTCAATATCAAGATATTTTTAAATAGCAGAATTTAGAAATATTTCAAATTTAAATTTAACTTTTTTAAATAAAAAGTTTTTATAAAGGTCAGTTGTTATTTTTAAGGACTAATAAGAGCATAGGGAAGAAAGTTTGCTCACGCGCGGGCATGATAAATGCCACTTTAATTGTCAAATAAATTATACTAACATCGCTAATTGATGAACGTAAATAAATAAAAAAATCAAACCGGTTTTGATTCTCCTTTAGATTGCGATGTCTTTCTGGTTATAACAGATAGTTTGATATTTATATATATTTATATATAACTCTGTCTTTATATTACTGGAAATTTATTTTGTGTATAGCAACATCATGCTACTCTTCTTTAAATGTATCCATCTCTTTAAACGATCTAAACTATTGCTCTTATTTACGTACATTCTTTTCCTTACAGATACAGCAAGAATATATTTATTTACATTATTTTTCTATTCATTTCCTGATCCTCGGCTTGCAGTTTAATCTTTACAGTATATATTATATTAACTTTAACATATCGACTTTTACATACGTACTATCATATATCATCTTTAACTTAGCAGTTTCATAATTCTATAACTCTGCCTCAACATAACTAGAGTATAAAGACTACATTTTTCATTTTTTACTAATACTTTACTTTACGTCACACCCTGCTTGCAATGCTTTAAACTTCTGTCCTTTGATAACTCGATCTAATTATATGTGATTCCATATTTATCCCCTTACATTCCCAATATTGTTTCCTCTACTTTTCTTCTCTCTTTTTTTCAATTACTTCTAAATTATATTTCTCTCCTTCACATCTATAAAAAAATTCATGTATTTGTGTATTAGTTCTAATCGTTTTACATTCTTTTAATAGTTTAATACATGTAACATATTTTCTATTGCGTCCTTACTCTAAATGTTCTGTCACCATCTTCTCTCCAATCTTGGTTTCCTTTTGTCTCATCTCTACATCTAAAACATCTGGCTATTAAAGGACCCCGCAGGATTCTTATAAAAAAAACATTTTCGGTCAATTTACTTGAATTTGTGATATGTTGTAGTTCTTGTGTTCCTGATAAAAAGTCTCAAATTCCATCAACTTTCTTTGATTAGTTTTTGGAAAAAAAAAACAAATTATATAGGCATTTAAAAATGTTCATAAATCAAGGGTCCTTTCTATCTAACTTCTCCTTTTCACATATTTCCTTCCAAGAATTTTGTTCATCACTTTCTTAAATTCTGATTCGTTTTTTGCCAACAAAATCACATCGTTTGCATATGTAAATGTTCAAAATTTTTCTTTTACTTTTTACTATTTCTCCTGTATGTTCATTCCTCATTTCTTCCTCCATCACATCAGATCCCTTTTTTAATCTAAAACTCTTCCAAAATTTCCTGTCTCCTATTTTGATTATAATTTTTTCTCTTTGCATATTTTTATTATTTTCTATCTTAAATTATCTATT